GAGCACACACATCTCTTCTTAACTCCTAAGAGATCATTGTAAGTTATAGAGCAAACAGCTTTGTTCCTGTGGGCCCTCACTTAGTACCCGTGGAACAGAGTGGGTTGTTCACGCGTTGGTTGGCTCAATTAATCTGACTCTCTTCTTGGTCAGCACTGAAATTGTTTGGGATATTCATGAAGATTTATTCATATATTGAATTTTGGAACCATAATAAAGCGTGTACCTCCGAATGTGTGAGAGTTGGACCTTCAAGACTAAATCTTACACTCCAGACTTTTTTCATACTGAAAAACGTGTTGTTAATTTTAGCATCAGATCAAAACCCCACAGGCTGGCTGGGGAAGCAAGCCTGGTGCCACCCCATGTCTCCTGGTTTCAGGATGCTGGTAGGGTCTCATAGCCCCCAAAGACTGCTTCCTCTATTCTCAGGCTCACATTTCCCCCAGATTTAATACCTTTGAAATCAGGGTATGCCTAACAATTAATGGTGTGACATAATTTCTTATTGGCAGCTTTTTATTTCTTGGAGGTACACAATGATGATGGGAAAGAAAGAGAAACAACATTTGTTGCCTGCTTCTCAGGTATCAAGCACTGAGATAAACAATTTACAGATGTTATTTTTTTAAAAAAGTATTTATTTGAGAGAGAGCACACGAGAGAGAGCGACATAAGCGGGTGGGGGGTGGGTAGAGGCAGAGGGAGACGGAGAAGCAGGCTCCCCACTGAGCAGGGAGCCAACAAGGGGCGCAATCCCAGGACCCTGGGATCATGACCTGAGCTGAAGGCAGATGCTTAACTGACTGAGCCACCCAGGCGCCCTTATAGATGTTATTTTGCAGAATCCACACATGAACCCTGTGAAGAAGGCCATTTTTAGTTTTGTGAAAGGCTGAGACCCAGGGGGTTATGAGACTTGTCCAAGATCACAAGTTGACACGTGTCAGAGTCAAGAGTTGAACACTAATCTGGAAGACTTTATTGTAATATGAACCTTTGGATTCTCCATCTGACTTGCTCTCAGCTGGTTCTGTTCATAAAAGAGTTTGCCAACCTTTAAATTCTGGTGTGAGGAAGGGCCTTAGGAGTCATGGGGTCCAACCCCATCATGTTACAGATGACAACATTGAGGCTGAGTGAAGTGACCTGCCCAAGTCAGTCACCGAGGAAGCTGTGCCACTGACAGTCAGCGTGGCTGAGCCAGGGGAGCGAGTTGCCAGGCTCTTGCGATGTCTTCGTGGCCTGCACACGTTGCCCACCCCCGGGCCCTCCCCGTCTGGGGCTGTCCTCCCTGGACCAGGCCTCAGTTGCCCGTCTCCTCTTCAAGGCACCAACCCTCGGCTCATTCTTCCTTTGTTGTCATGCCCTCCCAGGCTCCTCTAGGCCCCCTCTTCCCTCTCCTTCCGTATCCCTAGTGAAGCTGTTTCTTGCGACTCATCCTCCAAGGTGACAATGAGTCCACATGAAGATGAAACTAGAACAAGATGAGAGAAGATTCTCCAGGGCCTGCGCTTGGAGAGACATCACCCACATCTTTGTTTGCTACCTCAGGAGAGTGACTTTAGTAGTGGGAACGTCCACAGAGATGGAAGGGAAGGTAGCAGATGCACACTGTGGCACCACGATATTCTGTAGGTATCAGAGCCTCACGTAGCCTCTGAAATCACATGGCAACCTCTCACTATGCCTGTAGAGAGGCAAGTGGCAGGGCATGGCACAAGGAGGGCAAAAAAGGGGCATCTATACATCATTCCCCTTCTCTACACCCATGACGAAGCCGATGAGCTGCTGCCCTCTGCACTGTGACCATTCAGAGGTCTTCTTAACGCAGTGTCCCAGGCCGCACCTTCAACGCTTGGTTGTGGAGATGAAACCAACTTATTTACCATCCCCAGTACTGTCGAAGGCTTTGGAGGGGGGCAGATTGCAAAATAACTGAACTCTATTTCTCCCAATGGAAAAAGGAGAAAAAAATCATTGATTTACAGAAGTGTTGTGAGATTGAGAGATAACATATGTGAGAACACAGCAGATTCCATGGAGCCTTCTACATAGTAGGTGCTCGGCGACTATAAATTGTTGTTCTTACAAGATGGGGGGTAGGTGTGATGCTCAGTTCTGCGTTATAAGGAAACTGGAGATTGTAAAGAAAAGGTACTCTTGGCTTCTCTTTGTTGTCTTTATCTTGTGACAGTACAGACACAAAAGTATGTATGTTTCAGGTCTAACGCAAAAGGGCTGAAGAGTTAGTTCTCTTCAGAAACACAGCCCAGGTTGGCAGCTCACCACCAACTGGTGAACTTTAAGTGAGTTAAGAAGATCACACCAGGTAAGCCGTCTGTCCCACAGGACCCCAGTTCTGGTTATGCTACTCACAGGCTCAAGGGCTGGAGAAAGTCCTTTATTCCAAGCTCCATTCAATTTTCTATAAAACACGTATCATAACTGAATCTAGAGGTGAGTATATTGATGGTCTAGCAATGGATTCACTGAGGGTTGTTACACGTTTTGAAAAAATCAAGCCCTGAACAAGTAACATATATTTAAAGAACACTTCTCTTTGCAGGAAACAGAAATGCTTTAACTTCTTTATATAGTATTTATTTGTGTAATGTACATCTTAAATGTCTCTGGCTATGTCGTTATTTGCTGTGATATGTAAACTCCTAAGGGCAGGGATGATGTCTCTTTCATTTATTTTTTAGAGCACCCAGAATGATGCCATGACCAATGAAGTTTTTAATCCATTTGTATGCTACTGTTGCAGATTGGAATATAAACGGTGTCCCATGCTCATAAAGAATACTATTGCTTTTAGTTTAGACTTTCCAGAACCAGAAGTCTAATGAAACATTTCCATTAGAATAGCATTGAATAGCATTACATGTAGCACAAATGTATACTTATTGGCTTATTTTAATTCTTAAAATGTCAATATCAATTGACGTTCTGTTCTAAAAGCCTCCCCAATGTAGAAAATGTGAAAAATGCTGAAAACCATATGGAAGAAATAAAAAGTCCTCTTTAATTCCCGTGCCAGAAGAGAATCTCTTTGGACATCTTGGTGTTTTTTTTTTTTTCTATAAGACTCATTTAAAAATGTTATTAATATTAGCTAATCCTTAACTAATTTTAAGACTTTCAAAGGTTTCTTCTTATGGTGAGTTCCATCTTTTCAGTTTGTGATCCTGTGTTCTTTCCAGGAAGAATTATTGTTTTGTTATTTTCAATGTATTGAAACGTGTTGTGAGTTAAGGGAAAGAGTTTGCTGTGAGCTGCTTGTGACCGATACCCGTTTCGAAGGAAAGTTGTGGTTACCATGAAGGAGAATTAATCCATCTTGCCCCAGTGCATTTGTCCCCAGGTGAACTACTTTTGACTCTTTCCCTAGGATTATGTCACCCACCAAGGTAACTTTCTGTTTCAGTAGGTGATGTTAAGAAACAAAGCAACACCCTTTAAGTTAATCAGTTTTGGAAAAGAGAGACTGGCTTTATATCCCAAGGCTTTGATGTGTTTAGTGGTTCCTGTAAGGATCTGCCTCTCTTTTGTTTTGATTGACAAGACCCTTCCTATATATTTGAGCAGTCAAGCAGCCTGGTAGCAGAGGGTAGAGACATTTACCCAGAGCAAACTTCTATCACTCATTGTGATTTTCTGACATCTTGGGTGCAAGTGTGAGCTCTAAAAGGAGTTTGCTCCAGCAAGATCAGGTAAGTGCTTCTCCATATTTGTAACTTCATTCCACCGGAAGGGAAGTCCAAAGAGCCCTGCTAAGGGGACAGATCAGAGGTAGATCAGTAGAAGTAGATGAGACTGAGAGATCAGATTTGAAAATGAATAATTCTGCAGCAATAATGAATTATTTGAAGCAATAATGAATGCAGGACACTCCATAAATGCAGTGCCCACTCTCACTTTAACATCCAGGTATGTTCGGTCCCGTGGGCCGAGCACGCAGGTAATGTCTCTGGCTCCTGGAAAAGCACAGAAAATCACCACGACTCAGAGAGGATAGACTTGACAGTAGATTGGGATTAGGTTTTAAACACGTCCAATGCTTTCCAATATGTGGATTTAAGTTGAATCACAACCAGGTGCCTATTACAGTGGAGGCATAGAGCAGGGCTATTTGTAATTAATAGGATACATTTTTATGGGTGCTACCAAGTCAGGTAGTAGGATTCATAATATCTTATGCACATCAGTGTTTTGTGGTGGGCTGGGTTAGTAACAATACATCTGGGCATACAATTTTTATTTACCAATGCCCCTCTCATTCCCCATCCACGACACTGAAAATATGATTTTGAGCAGGCAGGGAACATGGCACCAAATACTAGGGTATCAGATCTAGGGATCTGAATAAAAATAATTTGTGTGTTCATGGAGAATGTTAGGATATGCATTACTTTTGGTGTGACTCATATTTTGTATTTATTTTGAAGAGACTGTTGGAACAAACCTAACACGTGAGTCAAGTCCAGCAGTCGGGTAGCAATAAGAAAAAGCCTGAGGATGCCCTGGGAGGAGTTAGGGGTCTAGTGAGCACAATGGGTCCATGAAAACCATGCTGGAGTCAGAGGAAAATTTGGGCACCTATGTTGGTGTTTGTGGGCATTTACACTTTCTTGGCTCATTTCTTCTGAAATGCTAAGTAAGCAAAATGCCTTTGACAGTGACCATCATATCACTGGTCACCCCCTGGAAGGAAGCTGGCTCTCTTTTTAATTTAAAAAAATTTTTTTTAAGACTTATTTATTTATTTCAGAGAGAGAGCAAGAGTGAGCACAAGTGGGAAGGGCAGAGGGAGAGAGAATCTCAAGCAGACTCTGCTGAGTACAGAGCTCGATGCGGGGGCCCGATCTCACGACCATGAGATCACGACCTGAGCTGAAACCAAGAGTCCTTCGCTTAACTGACTGAGCCACCCAGGTGCCCTGGGAAGCTGGCTCTCTTAATAAACTCTCTTTCTTTTCCCTCTCTGGAGGTACACCATGAAGCTGGCATACCTTTTCCTTGGCCCCATGGCCCTCTTCCTCCTGGCTGGCTGCAGCTGTGTCCTCAGCACCTCCAGTGAGGACCTTCTCACCTTTGTGGGCTGTGCCGTGAGGGAGTTTACTTTCCTGGCCAAAAAGCCAGGCTGCAGGGGCCTTCGGATCACTACGGATGCCTGCTGGGGCCGCTGTGAAACCTGGGAGGTGAGTCTCAAGGCAGGAACAGGTGACAAAGCCTTCAGGGTCAGCCACCTGGGTTGATTCCTGCATTCACTTTTTAAATAAAATGAGGTAGAGTGGGGCATTCCTGTGGAATTTTTTTTAAATGACAATTATTTGGCATTCTCCAAAAATAATCTGAAAAAAGCATGATCTTGCCCCTCTAACAAAGCATTGATAAAATTAATATTTGTATTTACATAGTGTCTGTATATGTGGGAACCATCTCTGGGAGGTTGAGATGTGCTATTATTCTACCCATTTTACAGATGACATGGAGGAAATCAAGGAGTGAGTGACTGCAAAGTTATGTAGGCAGTCAGTAGAAAGTTGGGAATAAATCATTGGTTTAAGCATGTCCCCCAAATTTCTCTATATTCTTCTACCTGTGACATAGCCAGCCAATTAACAAGAGATAGACCTTAAGCTGTCTAGCAGGTGAGGGTGGGTCCTCAGTTCTTCCTCAGTGGCTCGTGCACAGTGTTGCCCTGCCCCAGCTCCCCACTGCAATTTGGGGGGACCTCAGGGATTGTCACAGACATATCCACAAAATCCCTTTGTATTCAATGATATCCAGCCTTTTAAGAGGCATCACGTTTAAAATGAGGTTAAAAATCTTAGACAAAGTTAGAGCCCTACTGGGCTGAGATGAGGAGATGTTTGCAAGGTGGGAAGAAAAGAGGCCCATTCAGCATAGAATGTCCATCACACCGTGGAGTGACTGTTGACTCTTTGTACTGAGGCCCGAGTTGGTTACTAATGAAGCTCCAGCTCTGATTTGTCACCCCGGTTCAAAAACCTTTTAATGAGCAAGCACCCACTATTACAAATTCCAAAGCCAACTTCCAAGGTCCTCAGCAATATGAAGTTTGCCCATTTTCCCAATGTCTACCCATGTCCTGAGCTCTGGTCTTGTCAGATTGATTTTGAAAAGTTTTATTAAACACCCCTCATGAAATCTCACATTTGGTCTTTTTCTCATAACCCTTCTCATTTCCATCTGTTAATATTCAATATATTCTTTGATGTTTGTGTCCAGGGCCAACTCCTTCCCTAGAGGTTTTCTGACTCCCTGGTCAGCCCTGACTCTAGTTTACCTTTTGTCTTACTTTTCCTCACCACACAACACTAGATTCTGTTTTTTCTTTTTAGGAGACGAGTTTCATTCTTGTGCCTTTGATAGGTCTTGTTGAAGTGTCATGTACGAACAAGACATTCAATATATATTTGTTGAATTATAAATATAATTTATATTTATAATTAGACAGAGGGACTGACCTCTATCTGGAGTCATACATCTTTTAGCCTAATTGATGCCAACTTAGAAGTCCATGAGCACCACGAGAGGACAATGCCATGAGAAAAAATAGCCATCTATTCAGGGACTCAGAGAGCAACCTGCTGTCACTTGGATAAAATTATGGCCCAATGAATGGATTAGGTTATGGTGATGAAGTCTCCAAATTAAATAAAACTACTCCACCTAATTTGCTGTATTTTTTGCATCATCCAGGGACATAAGACCTAATAACTGAATGAAAATTCAACTGCTAAGGATACCATGACTGTGACTTGACATCAAACTTACTTGGGGAAATTTGACATCTTCTCATATTCAAGGCTTGGCCTGGCCATGCCTACCCCTCCTCAAAGTTCATTTCTCAGCTCTTTGGAGCTCTTTCTGGGCCCAAATTTCAAACTGTGTTTCCTTCAGTTCGGCTCACTTTCCTCTTCTCTTTAAAAATTGATGAACGTCTTTAATTGGATCCTGGTCACTCACAGGAGGTCAGGGACTATATTCTCACTGGAGAAATGGAAGCACCAAGACCATTAGAGAACAAGATTCTCCTTCATGTTAGCCAGCTTTTATTTATGCTTTACTGTACTATATGTGCAGGGAGGTTACTTATAGAAAATAAATAAAAGAATGAGGTTTATTTCCCCAGTAATCTGAAAGTTTCTGAGATATAAAGCACTTATTTTTGGGAACTTAACTGGAGAGCATGTCTAAAATGAGGATGTCTGTGACAACAAAGTAGCTGGATTTACTTAAAAGCTGGAATTTCTCTATATTCTTCTACCTGTGACATAGCCAGCCAATTAACAAGAGAGAGGCCTTAAGCTGTCTAGCAGGTGAGGGTGGGTCCTCAGTTCTGGAGAGCATGTCTAAAATGAGGATGTCTGTGACAACAAAGTAGCTGGATTTACGAACTACTTCAGACTACTGTGGCTGGAGCAGAGCAAGGAAGGCAGCAAGACAGGGAGGCCGGAGACATAGCAGAGGGTGTGTGTGCTCATGGCCTGGATTTAGGGTTGCCAGATTTATCAAAACAAACAAACAAACAAACAAACAAACAAACAAAACCCGCAAAAAACAGAAACAAAAACCCAGACCAAACCAGACCATGATGCCAGTTAAATGTGAATGAGAGATAAACAATTGTTTTTTTGTTATAAGTCTGCCCCAGGCAATATTTGGGACATAATTTACACTAAAAAATTTTTGTTGTTTATTTGATATTCAAATATTACTGAGTGTCTTAGATTTTATCTGGCAACTCTGCTTGAGATTCCAGATTACTGAGGGTAAGAGGACATGGTCCAATGCTTCCTGAAAAGGAGAAGGAAGCAGTGATATTAAATTGAGCTCTTCCACGTAGTCCTTAGCAAAGGCAAAGCCATCATTCCCATGATGTTCAGAAGAACTTAATCCTGGGCCTCCATTACACATATTTTCTGTACCCAATACAAGTGAAGGCATTGTTTTTTGAAAGCTTGTAAGTTGCTACTTTTATTATTACTTCCTTACTCTTACAACAGCTCTGATAAGAACAAGAGATGGCATTTACTGAATACTTACGTGGTGCTGGGCTTCGCGCATTACATATGTCATTCTACCTTATCTCTATAACGAGGCTGTGAGGTGGAGATTTTGTTTTACAGATGAGGAATCTGAAGCTTCGAGAAGTTAAGTGGACTTTCCAAAATCTTCAGCAAGTGGCACAACAGGGACCCAAGGTTAAGGGTCTGATTACAGGATTTGAAATTTTTCTTTTTTTTTTTTTACACTCTTGTGGTCTTTTATTTATTTATTTATTTATTTATTTTCACACTTATCCTGCCATGAATTCATAGGGAATGCGTTGCACCAGTTCAGGCTCCTTTCCATTGGTTCTCACAAAGCGTGCTTCTCTGGGTGGAGCAGGCTGGCGCTTCGGTTGAACCCAAGTACCTTTCTCTTCGGCTTCCTTCTTCTTCTGATCATTTTCCTTCATGTGCTTCAGGAAGCTATCTCGGCTCTTCGAGTGCTTAACGTGCTCTGTATGTACATTCATCCTTTTGGCAAGAATCTTGCACTTAACCTGTTTGTTTATAACAACAGCAACAGCAAATTGGATAACACTGTAGACTCTTCCAGATTTGCCATGGTAACATTTGGAGGGCACTCCTTTTTGAACAGTGCCTGTTCCCTGGATGTCCACAGAATCACCTTTCTTGTGGATTTGCCAGTATGTGACCAAGGGAACAACTCCATATTTTCTAAAAAGCCTAGAGAACATAGAGCGGGTGCCTCTCATTTGTGTTGGTCATTTTGGCGAATTACTGGAAGGTGGGGGTTCCACTCCAGGGCTTGAGATTTTAACTACTATTTTGTGCTGATTTTGTCATCTCTATGCTCTTTATAAAATTATCTTGGAGTTCAAGATTTATAAAAGGTTGAAGGCAGAAAGTGAATCCTTTGATGACCAGAACAGCACACAGGGCATTCTGAAACCTGCCTTGCTCTGTTTTCTGTCATTGATTCAACAATAATGATTGAGAACTTCCTGGGTGACAGGGACTACTCTAGGGAGTAGAAGCGCAGCAGTGAGTAAAATGGGCAAAAGTCCTTGTCCTAATAGAGGTTCCTTTCTAGAGTGGGAGAAACACAACACAAATAAATACAATATATAATGTGTCACATGGTCATGACAGGTGCTACGGAGAAAAGAATAAAGCAGGAAGAGGGTGGGGCGTGGCAAGCTGTGGAGGTGGGATGTTGCGATTTTAAAGAAGATGGTCAGGAAAGGTTTCTGTGTTGAACAAAATGGCAGGCTGGCGAAGGAGTCAATCATAAGGGAGAAGAACGTTCTGGGCACTGGGATTAACAGGGCAAAGACTCCAGAGTGGGACTGAGGAATAATCAGGAGACTACTGTGGCCGGAGCAGAGCGAGGAAGGCAGCAAGACAGGGAGGCCGGAGACATAGTAGAGGGTGTGAGTGCAGGGAAGATGATGGAGGGTCTCGAGGGTGAACATCTTTGACTTTTACTCTGAGTGAGATGGGACATCACTGGGGCTTTGAGCAGAGAAGAGATAGGATCTGACTTAATTTTAAAAGAATCACTCGGGGCTCCTGTGTCATAAAGAGACTATAGGGGGTGCTGGTAGAAGAGAGACTCGTTAGAAGACTTTTGCAATGATCAGGATTATTCATTTGCTACATATTTATTGAGTACTTGCTATGTGCCCTGGGCTCTTTTGGGAGCTCAGGATATGGTATGGAAAGGAGGTTGCTGCTTTCAGGAATTTATCTTCTACTGGGAGGGGAGAGATTTCACAGGTAAACAAATGACTAGCGAGTTAATTTCTGAAAGTGATAAATGGTACCGAGAACAAGAAACAAGATGGTATGTTCTAATGGGTTCCCTGTTTTCTACCGGGGTGGGGACAGAAGCCCATTCTGGAGCCCCCCTACATTGAAGCCCATCATCGAGTCTGTACCTACAACGAGACCAGACAAGTGACAGTCAAGCTGCCCAATTGCGCCCCTGGAGTGGACCCCTTCTACACCTACCCCGTGGCTGTCCGCTGTGACTGTGGGGCCTGCTCCACAGCCAGCACGGAGTGCGAGACCCTCTGAAGCTGGTGTGGCCGGCAGAACACAGCTGGAGGCCTCGAGCCTCACGGATGCACCGCACGGCCAGCACGAGCAGCTCTCCCCCTGGATTCGAACACTGTCTAATTTTGACCACCCCTGTGGCAGTTACCTGTCTCCCTTGGGTCCAGCTCAGGCACAAGGCCCAGAGGCAGCCTGCCGATGCTAAAAATGCAAAACAGTATCTGTGTTTTCACTGCAATAATTTCTCTGGTTCACATACTTGCAAATTATTTTGTCTTTACCTTGAATCTCAGAACATAATTTGCATATATCACAATCCTCCTCCAATTTGGATTTATAATATGCCAATGGTTTAAATGCAGTGGGAGTAATTAGGAAATGGGTCTAGAAAGTCTTTACGTTCTCATGTTTTATTTAACAATTGGTCTGCAGCTAGATGTGTGATCAAAGGGCCAGAAATCAATAAAACCAATGCTTCGTCCTCATGCCCCCAAAGAAAATCCAACTGCAAGCTTCCTTCGAGAAAATATTCCCTTCTGGTTTTTAACTGAGCACTTACCTACACAAGAAACAGAGACCGCTCAGATTAAAAAGGGAGGGCAATAGTAGCTGAAATTGAGAAACGTCTGGTTCTGGGTGATTCTTTTCCCAAGCAAAATTCTCAAAGTCCTTAATAAAGAGGCCCCTTTCTGATAAAAAAACAAAAACAAAAACAAACCTTCAGAAAAAAATATGTAACTAAAGCCATCATTTAGGTTTAAAGATGTTGCAGCTCAACTCTGGTTTTAGACTCATGTGATGTTCTCCTGAAGCCAGGCCCAAAATGATTAATCACAAATATTCTTTTCCATTTAGCATATTTTAAATTTAAGTTGTGATTTTTAAACTCGGAAATTTCGCGTGTTTGTCGGGGTAAAGCTGCCCTGCTGTCTCAGGGTAAGTCTGTGATGGTCTAGCTCTTGCGCTCTCTAAAATCTTACAGCAGCTGATTCTCTGTGACTTTTTTTTTTTTTTTTAACTCTGGTATTATGCAAGTGTCTTTAATTCTGACATTTTGGGGTTGAAATGAACTTTGTTCCTTTTTCATGATATGCCAAGAAAATCTGTATTAATGCCAATAAAGCATGTCCTCTGTCTTTTGAATTCATGAAAACTTTCAAAAAAGTCTTTTTAGTCTTTAATATACTTTAACAATAGCAAGCACCCTCAAAATGAACTTCAAAACTACTTTTACTTACACATTAATTTAGGATGTCACGTTTAGGAAGGGACACAGACAAGTGACTGGCTATATCATGAGTCCCGAAGGTGGCTCAGTCGGGACTCAGACCCCTGGCATATCCCAGCTGGGAGCCGGGAGCCCTCCTTGAATGAGGAACGGATAAGTCCTCATGAAGATAGTAAAGTGAATGTTGGGATTGATGGTCGAGGACGGGGATGCAGAGGCGGACATCTGGGGACAAAGGACATGAGCAAAATCCATCCCAGTCTTTAGTGCAGATCTGTTAGCAGGCAAGAAAGTCATTCTCACATAGAAAGTCGTTGAGTGATTAGGGACAACACGGGGTGGCGCCTCTCAAGTGTTTTCAGCCCATCCCTAAGAACTTCCCTCAGAATTTCCTGATAGGAAGGGCTGCTTCTTAAAGAAACTTAAGGAAGAAAAGCAGAAGCAGTAAGGGCTTGCCACAATCTGAGAGAAGGTGACTACAGCATCCGTAAGGGGCACGGTGGGAAACAAGGGATACACTGCAGCGGGATATTGAGGACAGTTCAAGGAAGATGCTATTTAAATGCGTGGGCAGAGTTAAGGAAACCAACAAGGGGTGATAAAACACTCTGAATACTTGTTTAGAAGCAATGAACTTCCTAGGCTGAAGGAGAAGAAGAGGGAGTGATTATCAGACCCCGGGAGAGTGGAAAAGGAATGCCTGATGGGAGCTGCAATCTTTCTTAGGATGACCCAGCCAGCCCCAAATCGAGGCCTGGTGGGGAGGGAGGTGGGGGAGAAAGTACCCCAATCTCACTCTGCTCCACACCCTGATTTTCAGCAGAATTGAATGGGAAGGGAGAGAGCAAGAGAGCCCATCGATTCAGTCCAATAAATGTTGGCCTTCTGGATAAGAGTTTTTTTAATGGGCACATTCTCCCATGAATCAGGACTAACATTCTTACTAGGGCACCTGGGTCTGGTCCCACTGAGCTGTGAGGATGGCTCTTTAAAGCTTGGGGGAAACGGTGGCTTATATTAATGGAGAGAAGATGCCAGAACTGGGCTTCCTGGTGTCAGCAGAGATGAGAGGGTCTGGGATAGCAGAGCCCAGGTGATGACCTGTAGCTGTAAGAGCGAAGGTGAACATAACTGCTGTCAAGGGCAGTGAAACCGCAAGAGCAGTCAGAAGCCTCTGATTTGCAGGATCTATGGTGCTGGTTAACATTCCACGGTGTCCCCGGTTCATGGTATTAAAGAAACTAATATATATAGGTATCAAATAAAAAGAGTGAAATACCTTTCTCCATGCTAACCTTGAATCTTTTTCAAAGTTCTTTCTTCCCACTTCCTTTCTCCCTTCTCCCCCCTTCTCTCCCTCCATCCCTCCTTTCCACAATATTTATTAACCCTAATTTTGTGCAGGGCACTGTGTTTGGGAAATAAAGATAGAAATATTGCTACCACTGATGGATGTTTTTACTCTAAGCAGGATCCTTTCCATTAATTCTTCCTAATTCTTACGTCAACCATGCTCCTAGGCAGTGTAATTGCCATTTTACCATTACCACTATATAGATGATGAAAGTGAAGCTCAGAGAAGTCAAGTAACTTGCCCAAGATCCGACAGCCGATAGGCTGCACGTGCCAGGTTTCTCTGACCTAGAACCAACCTCTTGCCATTGGACCGTGATGCCTTTTTGGAGTGCTCCTTCCTAGTCATTACTGCTTGGGCTGAAGTCTTTGAAGTTCTTGAGGTTAGACTATCCTCACCCCTGATCAGCATGTTTGAAGTCTCTCCCGGAGGTGGCTTGGCGCCAACTTGGGTTGTTTTATGGAGATTGCAATTTTTTCTACTTTCCCGTATAACCTTTAGGAAGATAATGCTTTGCTGTAGCTCTGATCAAAGCTTAGAGCAGGAGAGATTGAGGGAGAAAAGGAGTAGGAGCCTCAAAGGGAAATTCAAAGACACCTGCTGTGGAAATGAAGGTTGTGTGCTCTCACCTGATGGCAGTATGAGCACCGGGTGCAGGGGAATGATGGTCCAGTGCCTTGAGGTGAGCTCTAGATAAACTCTCAGCAACTCCTTGCTCCCGAAAATGTGTCTATTTTGCAATTAACGAAAGGTAAGGAGAAGGGGAATTTCCTGAAATTTTTTTTCTATGGGAACGTTTTTGAATGAAATGTATAAATTCTCACAGCTCATTCTACTTCTAGGTTTATTAGCTCCATTGATTGAAGTGGTAATTCATGCTTCCCTTTTTTCATTGATTGGGAAATGAAAGAGCCACCAGGAGAGTACCAAATCTTGCTGCAGTGACCCAATTCACTCTTCAAATTATTTAGGTTTTAAATGTAATAGAAAGCATTTCTGGGATCATAAGTGAGTTGTATCTCTAACTGAAAATAACACAGCATTGATTAAAATGTTTATTTTATAAAGTTTCCCAGAGGACTGCTTGCCTTCTTCACCCAGATGTTTTCTATAAAATAATGTGCACCTTATCTTTTTTAGTTTTCTTCAAAACATTAAAGCAAATTATTAAGAAGTAACTTCGAAACCATTCTTTAGCAAATTCTGCAAATTTTATTTTCTGTTGAAAATTTCTACTAGTGAAAGTTTACTTGGAGTAGAAGAATTTTGGTCATTCGTGGCTAGATGAATCTTCTGGGATTTCTTTTACAATGAGTTCCCTTTGTTTTATTTTCTTATTTTTTGAGTTCCCTTTGTTTTAATGAATGAGATTGTTTGGAATTGTGTACAGGGAGATCCAGAATGCTTAGTGGCTGGTTGTTGTGATCCTGGGGTATCTGAAGACCTCTGAAGAGGTGATGTCTAACAACAAGAAAAGAAATAGGGAAAGGATGAGAAAAGGAGCAGGTGCAAAGTGCTGTAATTGGTAGTGTATGACAGAGACTTGGCTCCAATGTTAAGGAATTTAGAGGGGTTATTCTATCCTCTGTTCCAGGTCCTCATTATCAGGAGCAAAGTAAACATTTCCTAAGCTCTTTCGCTTTATAATTGACTCTAAGTTCCCCTGACTGTACAATTTCATTAGCATACTGAATAATTGAGTTTTGTTTTTTTTTAAGGTTTCCCAATGTACTGGATCATATATACTTTGACCTTGATTGTGGGTTACTAGGGCTTTGGGAAAATCACTCAAACCCCAAATACAACCACTCCCCAACCAACAAACAACATTCCCTCAAAGAAAATATTTTGCTTTAACATAGAATATCAATATTACCGAGATGAGAATGGTAATATTCTTTTGGTGATGTTGAAGATACAATTACCAGCAAGAAATATAGATATCCCTGAGTCACAAATAATATACAACTTAAAATTATTTAAAAGAGCATTCATTCACTTAAAATAAATTTAAACTATGCATACACAAAAAAGGTTATGATGAATTAAGAATTGTCATTATCTCGAGGAAAGATTCTTGCAGAACTATGCACTTAAAATAGAAATTTAATCCTGTTACTTTGCAGGTTCTTTCTCCAGGAAATGTATGAACAGATCATGCTTTCTTGACCTCTCTGTGTTGCTCCTGCAGAGATTTCTACTTATAAATCTAGGTATGTCTACAGCATGACGAGGTACACCGTCTAAGGGAGGTGATCTAAGATTCTAGGCTGTTCCGAACCTCCATCTTCTGTCTGAAGATATGAAATCTGCATATCAAGATTAAAATATTTGGAGGGGTGGGTAGCCAATTTTACTGAGTGGATTTAAGACATCAGCATTTTAAAATAGGTTGGAAATGTTTTTAAGAGGAAGATTTTGTTCAGCTTTTAGCTCCTG